GAGAGCTAGGACTCGAACCCATGCTTACATGGGATGTCAGCATCCTAGGCAGCTTGACCTGCTGTGCCAAAATGCTGGCCCCAAAAGTTGTTATTTTAAAGTGTTGTCATTTCAGAGCTCTGTAAAACAAAAAAAGTTGAGAGCTTACCATTATTTGCCACATGAATTAGTAGTTGGTAAAACTGCAAATGATTGGGACCAACATTGTGATGCAGTAGTTTCAGCCACCACCTGTGACGTTGCATCTCATGTGGGTGCTAATTCAAGTTCCAGCTGCTCTACTTTGAGTCCAGCTCCCTGGTAATGCACCTGGGGAAGCAGAGGAAGATGGCCTTAAGAGTTTGGGTCTCTGCACCCACAGGTGAGACCCAGATGGAATTCCAGGCTCCTGACTTTGGCCTGTCCTACCCTCAGCTGTTGAGGCCATTTGGGGAGTGAGCCAGTGGATGGAAGATTTCTGTCTTTCTATAACTCTGCCTTTCAAATAAGAAATTTAAAAAAATTAAAATGATTAGAAGGTAACAGACATCTATAATATTCTGTATTCAGGATTCTGAAATATATGGAAATTCTTAGGCTATGGGAAGAACTTTATAATATTAATTGTATTTATTATAATTTTCACAAATAAGAATGATGCAAAATATTTCTAAGAGGATTCAAAGTAACAATTTGAACATATATGAATTATGGGAAATTATATATTTAATGGTGAGATAAAGTTGCATCTAATATTTAGCTTGTATTTTTGTACAAATTATGAAAGGGGAATGGACAGGGGATTACCCATGCCAGAAGGGCAAGTGAGAGAGATGGTCTCATAAATGACATAAACACATGATTTTTTTTCCTAGAATACCTGTTTATACCAGTATTTTTGTTTTTTATTAAACTGATTAATATGGGTACTAAAATAGTTATGATAGCTTATTTTGTTAATATAATTTTTGTTAAATATTTTATTGTATTAAATATTTGTTCATCAAAACTTTTCTGTTATTCTTCTGTTTACCATATTTTTAAGTGAATTAGGATTTGTCAAAATTGTTTTATAAGCATGCTGGACTCTAAATCATTGGATTAAATTCTTGTATGTGTAAAAACATTAATAGCTCATTAGTTATCCAGAAAGATAGTGTGTGCAGGAAAATATATAAATGCTTGTTACCTTTCTCCTTATTTATAAGTCGTTAGATTTTTTTCCTTTAAAAGAGTTCAAGGTTGCCGGCGCTGCGGCTCACTAGGCTAATCCTCCGCCTTGCAGCACCAGCACACCGGGTTCTAGTCCCCGTCGGGGCACCGGATTCTGTCCCAGTTGCCCCTCTTCCAGGCCAGCTCTCTGCTGTGGCCAGGGAGTACAGTGGAGGATGGCCCAAGTACTTGGGCCCTGCACCCCATGGGAGACCAGGAGAAGCACCTGGCTCTTGCCATCGGATCAGCGCGGTGCACCAGCCACAGCGCACCAGCCGCGGCGGCCATTGGAGGGTGAACCAACAGAGAAGGAAGACCTTTCTCTCTCTCTCTCTCACTGTCCACTCTGCCTGTCAAAAAAAAAAAAAAAGAGTTCAAGGTTAACCAATTTCAGATTATGATTCTTATATTATTAGGGACATATTAATTTCTAATTTAAATTATATGTTTAAGGTAATTTCTAAAGTTCTTAGCTCGTCTCATTTTTCCATGGCAATCAATTCAAACTGCCTTCAAGTTCCTTCAAACATGACCCCAGCAATATTTCTTGTTATCTTGTTTGTTTTTCAACCTCATCTTGCACATTTTCTGTCCTGGACTTGAGATTAGGCTATTTTTTTTTAAATAAGTTCTGTTTTCTTTTGTGATAAATTTGCTTTTAAAACTGATAATCCAGATCATAGGAGTGTTCTTTGGTGTTCATAATAAACCCTTTATGTGAAAAAAGGGTAGAAAAATGGGCTTGCAAAACATGCTACTTGGAGGGCTGGCATTGTGAGTGAGGGGTAAAGTTATCACCTGCAGTGCCAGCCTCCCATATGGGTGCCAGTTTGTGGACTCCTCTACTTCCAATCCAGCTCCCTACTAATGGCCTGGAAAAGCATCAAAAGATGGCCCGAGTGCTTAGGCCCTTTTACCCATGTGGGAGACCTGGAAGAAGCTCTGGGTTCCTGGCTTCAGCCTGACCCAGTCCCAGCTGCTGCAGCCATTTAGGGAGTGAACCAATAGATGGCAGATCTCTCTCTCTCGCACTCTGTCTCTCACTCTGTGACTCTGACCTTCAAATAAATAAATAAATGTTCTTGAAAATAACTTGAAAAAGTTATTAAAAATAGTTTTGCAAAATGTGCTGATTCTTCAAAATAATTTTTATGTAACTTCATGATTTTTTATAGTCATATTTAAATTTCTTATTGTTGAAAACTTTATTTCCCAAAGGCAGTATTATAATTACATAATTATATCTGCTTTAAAACTGTAACTCTATTTTCACTATCTACATGATAATGACAATAACTGAAGATCATTTGGTCAGATTTTTGTCCTTAATCTTTATTTTGGTACATTTCATTAAAATCTTGTGTTTTAAAGTAGCTGAAAAATTCTTTCTGGGCCAATGCTGTGGCCCTGCAGCTCCAGCAGCACCAGCATATGGGGACTGGTTCAAGTCCCGGCTGTTCCACTTCCCATCCAGCCCCCTGCTAATGACCTGGGATAACAGTGGAGCATGGTCCAAGTGCTTGGGCGCCTGCACCCATGTGGAAAAACCCAGATGAAGCTCCTGGCTCTTGATTTTGGCCTGGCACAGCCCTAGCAATTGTGGCCATTTGGGGAGTGAACCAGAGGATGGAATATTTATCTATCTATCTATCTATCTATTTCAAATCAACAAATAAATCTCTTTTTTTAGTTTTGATTTAATGATTGCATTTTTTCATAGATACCACTTTAGGAATATAGTGGTTCTTTCCCCCATACCCCCCCAGCTCCCATCCCACCTCCCTCTCCCTCTCCCATCTCCTTCTTCATTATGGTTCATTTTTAGTTTAACTTTATATACAGAGGACCAACTCCATGCTAAGCATAGACTTCAACAATTTGCACCCACGCACACACACAACATATAGAATACAGTTTAGGGAGAAAATTTGCAGTCAATTCTCACATTACAATTCATTAGGGACAGAGGTCCTACATGGGGATCAAGTGCACAGTGACTTCTGTTCCTTTAACGATTAACACTCTTATTTATGACAGTGATTATCCAAGGCTCTTGCCAAGGGCTGCCAAGGCTATGGAGGCCTTTTGTGACCATAGACTCCATTGGTATTTGGACATGGCCATAAGCAAGGTGGATGTTCTCTCCTCCCTTCAGAGAAGAGTATATCCTTCTTTGATGACTCTCTTTCTTTCCTCTGAAGTCTCACAGAGATCCTCAATGTAGGATATTGTTTTGTCACCGAGTCTTGGCCTTCCATGCCTGAAATGCTCTTGCAGGCCTTTCAGTCTGACCAGGAAGCCTTAAGGGCTGATTCTGAGGTCAGAGTGTTATTTAGAGTGAATGTCATTCTAGGAGTTTGCTGTGTGGACTGCTTCCCATATTGGACTTTCCTTCCTTTTAAATTCTATTATTTTTACCAAGTAATTGATGTTATTTATATGATCACTTTTAAACTTAGACTAATCTATATGTTGCCTTTAACTTTTAATATCATCATTTTAGCAATGAAGATGGCACTTATAGCACTAATTTTTATGGGTTTGGAGCCCCATGAAAAGTTCTTAGGCTGTACCCTTAGAGCTAAGTCTGTATGACTGTATGCAGAACTAGACTGTTTTACTATGTCCTCCATCTCTTATTCTTCCTCTTATTTTTAACTAGGATCTTTTTCCAATTGCCTTAAAAATACATATGATTAACTCTGTGTTACATAGAGAGTTAAGCATATAGTATGAAGAAAAGAGAGAGAGAAAGAAAACAGAGGAAAAAAAAAAAACAAACAAAACCAAACAAAAAGGATATACACAGTAAAAAGTAACAATGATAAACTGTCCCTTAACAGTCAGGTCAAGGACTATGAAGACATTGATTCTAAAAGTGACAATTTTGCTTCTATAGCTTTCAATTCTTCCAGCAATGTTACACTGCCAAGTCTCTACAGAGTCTACTTCATGTTGGTTTCATTTCCTCCTTCATTCTATGAGTATTTTAAATTATCATTTAAAACAATATTGTAATTGTACCAGGTTGAAGACTTGAGTATGTGATGATCCAGAAAGTACCATTCATGTGAGTTCATGGAAAAATGGATAAATTAAAAGATAAGATTTTAAAAAATTATTTGTTTGAAAAGTGGAGAGATAGAGAAAGACAAACACACACACACACACACACACACACACACACCCTGGCTTTGAGAAGTCAGGAGCTAGGAACTCCATCCAGGTCTTCCACGTGAATGCCAAGAACTCATGGGGTTGGTGCTGTGGCGCAGTGGGTTAAAGCCCTGGCCTGAAGCTCTGGCATCCCATATGGGTGCCAGTTCTAGTCCCGGCTGCTCCTCTTCCAATTCAACTCTCTGCTATGGCCTGGGAAAGCAGTAGAAGATGGCCCAAGTCCTTGGGCCCCTGCACCCACGTGGGAGACCCAGAAGAAGCTCCTGGCTCCTGGCTTTGGATCGGCACACCTCCAGATGTTGCAGCCATCTGGGGAGTGAACCAGCATATGGAAGACCTCTCTCTCTGTCTCTACCTCTCTCTGTAACTCTGTCTTTCAAACAAATAAAAAAAAAAAAAGGAGAACTCAAGTGCTTGAGCTGCTGCTTTCCAGGTCACTTCACAGGGAACTAGATTGGAAATAGACTGAACTGGCACTCCAATGTGGGACAAATGGTTTGTTTTTTTAATATGGGCATATTTATAAGTTATGCACTGAAGAAAATTTCTAAAAGTAAAATGGAATATATTGTTTCTTTCTTTTCCAGATTCTTCTGACCCCAATTTAAAAATCATCCCTTAGGTATTGTGTGATGATATCTACTAACTTAGACTGGGTGGTTATCTTCCTCATTCAGATGAAAATTGGGATCCTGGGAAATGCTTCACTTCTTTGTTTTTATACCTTCACTTTAATTACAGGACAGAATCTCAGACCCACAGACCAAATTCTCAACCAGCTGGTCTTAGCTAACTGCTTAGCTCTTGTCTCCAAAGGGATCCCTCAGGAAATGGCAGCTTTCGGGTTAGAATATTTCCTAGATGGTACAGGATGTAAGCTCATCTACTATTTACACAGAGTGAGCAGAGGAGTTTCTCTTAGCACCACCTGCCTCCTCGGTGGCTTCCAGGCTGTTAATATTTGCTCCAGAAGTTCTTGGTGGCGGGAGCTCAGAATTAGAATTCCAAGCTGCATTGGCCTCTGTTGCTCCTTCTGCTGGATCCTGAATCTCCTGGTAAATATTCATGTTGCTATCAGGGTGAAGGGCCCAGTGACTCACAAAAATAGGAGCCTGGAAAACATGCCTAAATTTTCTTGTTCTAAGACCACTACAGACAAACTTTCAAGCTCACTGATTGCAGGCATGATATTTTTTGTTGACTATATACTTTTGGGTCTCATGGTCTGGGCCAGTGGCTCCATGGTCTTTGTCCTGTACAGACATAAGCAACGAGTCCAACACATTCATAGCAAGAGCCAATCCCACCAACCTTCTCATGAGGCCAGGGCCACATGTACCATCCTAATCCTGGTGAGCTCCTTTGTCTTATTTTACTCTCTCTCCTCTGTGTTGACTCTCCATGTGGCCCTAAGTGTGATTCCAGCACAGTGGCTGTTGAACACCTCTGTGTTTGTGGCTTTGTGTTTCCCAACTCTCAGTCCCGTTGTGCTCATCACTCGTGACCCTCGTGTCTCTAAGTTGTGGCTGGCTTGCTGGTCAAGATGTTTTTTCCTTAATGCTGAATGAGTATACTGTCCTTTATAGGGCATCAAATGACCCTTTTCCCCCTGTATTCACACATAAGCATCCACCCAGTGTCAACTCTTCTAGAAGAGTTTGAACATGGTGATAAAAAGAAAGAAAGATTTTAAAATTTAACCAAAATAGTACTCATGTGTTATATATGTATATAAATAACACTAATCTAATTTTTCTGTTATTCAAAAGAATGACTAAATATATTTAACCTTGCAAAGGTTAAAACAGAGAGGACTTCCTCATCATGTTGGTTCAGACTGGGCCCCTTTCAACTGGTTGTTGTGAATATCATTTTTTGTTTTGTTTTGTTTTGAAAAATTGGCCTGATTGGGGATTTTCCTTTTCTTTTTTGAAAGATTTAAGTCTGTTAACATGGCACTTCTCCGGAACTCCATTGTGGTTTGTTCTGGTCCATTGAGCCTAGCTCAGGCACTCATGTACATTTTACCTAAACCTCCTTCACAGTCCAACACACAGCACTAGGTTTCCATGGTGTAATTCAAGATCTACCTGTCTGAGCAGGCTTTTCAACTCTCACATCCACTTTTCTGAGAACAGCATGAGGTGATGTGGTGCAGCCTGGACACAGGAGGGGATGGTGCTGTTACACACCTGTGGGCATTCTGGGGCTTTATGTATTGTAATAGGCAAAACAGAGATTTGATTGTGGGTGAAAATAATAGTTAAAGTTAAGCAAATTAAGTACAGTTTCCTATGAAATTAACATCAATGAAATGTGTGAATTCTTTCTTCTACATCAAGTGAGGATTCAGATTTTGCACAGTTGTCTCAATATGATGCAGTCCTTGGACCCAAAGCAGACCCACAGACTTGATTCTTAATCAACTTGCCTCAACCAACCCTTTAGTTATTTCATCAAAAAGATCAATCAGACAATGGCAGCTGTTGGATTGGAGTGCTTCCTGGGAGACACCAGATGTAAAACTATTATCATCACAAACTGGCCAGACAGGTCTACATCTTACAGTTTCCAAAGACACAAGACTCCAGTACTCTGTTTTTGGCTTTTCCTGATATTTTTCTCTATGGTGTATACATCCCTGACATAGAATTAAAATGTTCCTCTCATATCTTTATATATGTATAATCATATCTTATGGGTCTTGCTTGAATCTTCTTTTGCACAATAAATAAAGGATTCCCTCATGTTGTTGCATGCTTCTGTCATGACTGTTTGCAATAGTGTTGAAAACTTTTTCATCGTAATGTATCTACCATTCTCCTGACCATCTTAGAGAGGGTCATTATTTTCCAAACATCAACCAAACGCTCTACTACTTCAGGATGCTTCTGTCAGGTATTACTGTTCAGATTTCTAAAAAGATTTTCCACAGAATGTGTGCAATATTCTTAAATACTACTGCTCTAAAGTTGGAGGAGTCTTGCAGTTATCTTAGCGTTGTATAAACAGCCTTAAGTACAGCCTAAGAAGAGAATTCCTTTTTCTTCTTTAGTCTTTCTGCCATTTTTTATTTTCAGTTATATGTGCTGAAATAATTACTGGTAAAATTTCAGGGTTGTGGATTATCTTCCACACATAAATTTTCTCTCTCCTGGCACTAATATAAAGCACATCTCTTAACTGCATGGTGCCAGTGCTAGTGCTTCATCCTGTTGCTGGCAGTGGGATGTGGACTTAAGAAAAATCAAGTTCTAGCATTTTAGGAGGTTGACACTGAAGTGTGGTTGTTAGGTTCACACCCTGTTTCATAAACAACATCAAAATGGCAGAACCATTGCTGACTTTAAGTTCACACGAGGAATGTGCTTTAACAATTCCCAGTACTGTCAGTATTGTGAAATAATTCCTCTTAAAGATAAGGATCACTGGCTTCTATGCTCTTCTTTTCTCTCATCATTTTCTTTTCCCCCAGTTTAACTTGAATTTTCTAAAACTATTTCAGAGTTTGGTAGTTTTCTCAGTTTAGCTCTGTGAGGCAATTTTCTGATCCAAATGAATTCATCTAATACCCTGTCATGATATTTTACTAGAAAATCATTACATGTTCTTTTATCTTCATATAGGTCTACAAAAATGGCCTATAATTTTATTCATGTGTACTTTGGTTGCTTGAATTTCTTAAAAAAACACACACACACACACACAAAAAAAAAAGAAAAGGATTGTTTCTTACTATGGGAGTCAACTCAACATGGCAAAACCATTTTTGAGATGGTGATGTAACAGATAGTGGAAAAATAGCTAAAGAATTCCAGAAAAAAAGCTGGGCTGAGGATTTGCTGTAGGTATCACTGTTTTGAGCTGTTTGGATGATAAAGAGATTTCCATTTTTATCTGGGAAGAACTAGCGGTAAAACATCTAAGAGCACTAAGTTTGTGATATAGAATTTATGAGGTTTAGTGGATCTACCCCACACCCCCCACTTTCCCATGGTAAGATGTCATTGACAAATTCCATATATTTGGATATTATGCCAGCCATATAATCAGATTTCTTTATGGGGGGGGGGTGACAATTGTGTGTGTTTACTTTAGAAGAGATGAAAAGAGACAAGATTTATGAGATAAATATTTGAAGGCAGTATGCTCTGGCTAACTGTTATCAGTTGGTATTTCTACAAGTCCAGAATACTTTGAACCTGATTTACTAGATTTGGGAATTTTTAACACGGTCTAAATTATTTACTCAAAGACATAGATGTGAAAATTTTAGGCAGTCTTCTAAATCTTTTTCACCATGGATGAAAACTATGATATAAAGAATAATACTTAGGAGGATTAATTGGAAATCAGAGAGTTCGAAATAAAACTTGGACCACTTTGCATACACTCTTCTCACTTGACATTTTAGCAACGTAATATGTACTTTGAGTATAACATCAAGTTTTAACAAATATTTAAAGACAAAATCATGTCAATAAGATACTAAAAGGCTCATTTTTATATTTGTTTTAGATGTTTTAAATAGTTGCAATGGCTTAAAAATGACGATTTAAAATGTTGCTTGTAATACAGTTTTGCCTGCTAAATTCTCCACATTTTGTAACCTGTTTTATTTCTTTGGGTGTAAAGCGTTTTTGCTTAGTATTGTGATATTGTATATGTTTTGTCCCAGTTATATAGTAATGTTTCAGTCCATCATCCAGCTTTGGCTGCTGAAATCATACAGCTGTGAAGACCTTGCCTTTGTTTCTGTTAGACTGCTTTTCAGTTCTGTATTGAGTATCTTAAGTACTATAGAAAAGATGTCACTTCTTCATTTAAGGCTGTTTTGTAATATATATAAGGACTGGAATTGTGTTTTTAAAGAAAAGCATTCAAGTATGACAATATACTATCTGTGTTTTCACCATTCAAAGTGCTGTTTAGTAGTTGAAACTTAAAACTATTTAATGTCATTTAATAAAGTGACCAAAATGAAAAAAAAAAAAAAGATTTTCCAGATTATCAGTGGTTTTGCCCCAGTAGATCAACCCACCACACATTCCACCTCCTTCTGGCTTCTGTGACATAATGTAGGAATTGGCATGATTTTGATATCTGCATAAATAAGCTGAAGCACGGGGCTTGTTGTCCCCCTACCCATTCAGTTTACACGAGCTTGGAAAGCTAACCTAAGAGCTGTTGACATGGTCTTCTTAAGCACTGTGCTGCTGTTTAGATACGGCTTGAAATCTTGATAATGTTAATGCCAAAACGGAAGGAACAGTTATGACTTGCTCAGTGAAGTGTTACGGGACTACAGGGACAAAGGATTTTTATCATGGACCTGAACATCTCCAAAGAGCTCCTTTAGTGACTAGAGTAGGGAATAGATGAGAGAGGGTCCCAGAGAACAACTGAAACTCCTTTCCTCCAGGAAGTGGCCGAGACAACAGACAGCACATTCCCTAGTGATGGCAGCTATCCAAGCCCTGGGAAATTTATAATACACAGTTCTACAAAGAGTGAGAAAGAAGGACAACTAGAGAAAGATTGGGTAAAAGACGGTTGCCTCACTGAGACATGGCTCATCTGAGGACAGCTGCTAGGGAGTTAACATCTTAGCTATATAATGGTTGCTCCACCAAATGCTTCAAGTCACACCGGTCTGTCTCCCTCTCTCTTATCCTCCCCCATCACTCTGCCTTTCAATAATACCTAAACATAGAAAGTTGAAACCTGCTAATCAGTAAAAGGGATGACTTATTGACACATCATCCTGATTAATATCAGGAGTATGAAAAGCCAGACATCAAACAGCTCTGATGATATGTTTTTTTTTTTTCTGCATGTGATGATGTTTGGCATTTTAGAAAGCTGGTGACCACCACAGCTAACTAATTCCAAGGAGTGCTGGGAGCTTCCCTAGAGTCTGCCTTTCATGTGAAGACCCCAGATCCAGGACTGTGACCCCACCCATCTCCTTACCCAAATCTTGCACATCAAAGCAGCATTTCTGCTGCACCTCAGCCATGCCAGCACCAATTACCAGACAACAACGGGCCGTCCCTACAACCCAAAGCCTGCCAGAGCACATATAAATATGTTGGTTCAGCCCTCCCCTCCTCCTGCTTCTGCCTCCTAAGCAAAGTCTCATGCTTCCTGTGTGGCGCTGTCTCCCTGCTCTCTGCAAATCTCAGCAACAAGTGCTTTCAGTGATGTTAATTTCATGGTGCCATCACTCAATCACTTCTAAAATTAGAATCCTGGGATTACAAAGGACACAGATTATACTTTCCTATGACTTTATAGAACAAGCCAAAAGCCGAAACTGTGATTTCAGCTAGCAGAACAGTAGTCATCACTTTATGGGGTAATCTCCTGGAAAAGGACAAGTGGGAATGTATGGCATCATGGAATCATGGAGTTCTTCTAGATCTTTTGCAGCATGTAGGTTACATTGTGAATTTTACATTAAAAAGAAAAGAGTATTTGCCATCTCTTCTAGTATAAATAAAGTTTGTTCATTTCCCTGAATGCAAATATTACTTACACTGGAGTCTGGTTGATGGCTTTGCCTAAT